AAGACATACGCCGGAATACTGAAACGTTACTCAATTTTAAGTAATGATTAAATATCGTGCCATCTCTGTCATTTACAAAGAATTAGTGGTGACAGAACTATACTTAAGCGCGACTTAAAATTGCGTAACGTTTCAGTATTCCGACACAAGTGGACTACATTGAAGTTCTCCAAAGAAACTATTACGTGTCACGCCGTACCTGTTCTAAGATTTACTATAAAATACATCATAACGTTTCAAGTAACTGTGCTTAGAGCACACGGTCCTGTTGGCTTGAACTTTGAGAAATATGAAATAGCAGCAGATCAAGTTAATTGGGTGCCGGTGCTGCGTCCTTACGGCGGATATTGTTAGGGGTGACTGGTGCACGGAAAATATTAATAAGTATGATTAATTTTTTTATTTTCAATCATTCTAATTTAGTTCTTTCCTTTTTCGTAATCAACTTAAGTATGATAATATTTATGTAGTTATATAAATTATGTTATTTACTTAGATGATAATGAATATGAATAAATATATATAACTTAAAATATAAACAACTAAAACTAAAATATTTACACCTCAAAAAGTGTATTATTTAACCTTTATTTTTTAATAAGTATTTTGTTTCATAAATTAGTAGTTGTTCGTAGTGTAGTAGAAGGATGATGAAATGATATGTTACCATAATTAGGAAATACTAAATTTTTACAATAAAAAGTACAGCAAGTAATGTGGTCGTCTTTTAAAATAATATCCTAAACTACATACATTATTCCTATAAAAGGTAATTTTGAAAGCATCCTATAAAACTAAGTTTCATATTTACCAGTTCACAGTTCATACAAATCAACAGGTATTTAAAATTATCCCTTAAACAATTACAGTTACAGTGCATTTTACTATCAACAACCAACCCTAGATTTATGTAAGTAATAAGTTCCGCTGCTGATGAAAAATTTCGTTCAACCAGTAACGAACAGGTCCATGATATTAAACTTTGCGGCAACTCGATTATCAAATAGTTTCGAATCGATTTTATACGAGTATTGAATTTGATCGAGTTGCGACCGCACTATAATAAACTTTGTTTCATATTCCCCATAGATATTCTATTTAAATATAATAGTATTATCTCTCTCGATAATAAAATTCTCTTCATTGTATTTTGTTGCGATACTTTGGGTTGGGCTAAGATATTTTTTCGTGTTTATGTATTATTGACGACTTGTTGTTAATTTCTTGAAACTTCAAGTACCTACCAATGAGAATGTATGTAAACAGAAAATAAAGATTACTGTTGTAATTTTACACAGAACTTCCCAAATGAGTAGTTCAAATTTGTTCGGTTATTATATTACGTTACCGACGGTTCCTTTCAAGGAAAGACAGACACATACATAACATCACGCCTTTTATCCCATAAGGGGTAGGCAGAGGTGTACATTATGCCACTGTACAATGTAACACCCACTTTTCACTATTTATGTTATGAGTCACATGTAATAGGGGGTGAGCCTATTGCCACATACCGGGCACAATTCCAGACTCCGTGCTACTACTGTGAATTTTTAAAAACCCAGTAATACTTTGCCCGACCCAGGAATCGACCTGGACTCCTTGCCCGGCAGCCGCACTTGCGACCACTCGGCCAATGAGGCAGTCAGGCATGTCTTCTTAATATCATCATTATCTCTATATACATGTCAATGAATTTATCCACATTTCGTGTTGGGTAGTCGTGTGATTAGCAGATCAGATCAGATTATTAGAATTTCAATTACCTATCTATCTGTAGATTTGCGTACTAGAGATAGAATTTTATACCTCCATGATAGCTCCATGCAAAATGCGTCAAAATTCTATCTCTAGGTTATTGAAACTGGTCTTTAACCAACAACTTCTACATTCAAAACACTGCTAAAATAATAAAATAACTGGCATTTCTACATATTTCTTGAATGAGACATTAAAAAATTATTAGCCGTACGTTCGTCGCATTACAAACTTAATTGGCGTTAACCAGCAAAAAGTTGCAACAATTCTCGGTGCATATCTCGTCTAATCGACGCAATGAGCCATTTAACTAACTGGCCAGTTAACTTATGTGTTGACGGTTAATCGCGGATGTAATTTCAAATGACGCCGACTTAAGAGAGGCATTCCGGAATATTGTGGGGTTTATTTTGATGGTAGTCGACTGTAAGTAAGGGACGTTTTTGAAAGTGATGTATTATATTGACACTAGCGGACCCAACAGACGTTGTCCTGCATATCCACTTGAATGTATAAACAAAAATTCATTTAAATTAGTTCAGCTGTTTAGGATAAATAACCTAAACATCGATTGCAGCGCCATCTGCCAGGCTGATTTGTGAATCTAAACCATTCCCATTTCCCATTCCCTTGAACACACACAAAAAAATTCAATTAAAATCAGTCCAGTCGTTTGAGAGAAGTTCAGTGACATACACACTCACAGAAGAATTATATTTATAAAGATTTGTCTGTTTATGAAGTGAACATTTTCGTAATTACTGACACGTCACCATTTACATTGAGAGCATCATTGGACGAGTGGTCGCAAGTGCGATTGCTGGGGAGGGGGCTCGGGTTCGATTCCCGGGTTGAGCAAAGTATTACGGGGTTTTCTAAGAAAACTTAGTAGTAGCACGGAGTCTTGAATTGTGTCTGGTATATGGCGATAGGCTTACTCCCTATTACATGAGACTCATAACGTAAACAGTGAAAATGATCGCAAAGAGAAATCTCTCGCTTTATCGTTTGAAATTATAAATTTAAAAGATATAAATGAAATACTGATATTCATGGAAATCTTTGTCATTCCATCACATTTCTTATTTCACCTGCTTCACGTCACACCCATGACCCATATATTTACAGTACGTCGTGGAGAACCTAACGGGTAACCGGGGCTCCGGCTAGACGTGCAGGAGAAGGAACGGGGTGGTTTTTAGTCAGTACGAGTCTGACACTCCCTCCCGCCTAATCCAGGGCGGGAGCAGTCATTCGATGATTTTCCCCCCTAAAAAAAAAATCAGTACATAAATATAGAACTTTCATGACACACGTACCTCATAGAGATAAGCTTATAACAAAACTTTCGCCACAAACAACACATCTCATTTCTAGTACTCCAAGATTATTGCAACTACAATGTTATCTCTAGCAACTTTTTGAACTCACTCGCCACAATATCGCATGCTTTAAAGATAGTGCCACAGTTCGTCGGCCCCTTGGCATCCGTCGGGCATACCTTTGTTCATCAAAGCAGTAACGTCGGTGACCACGGCCCTCACACGACATACCGTCCATGTTTCTCTAATCTTCAAATATTTGTACTACGCATGTAAGTGGGGGAAATAAGCTATTTCAGCCAAGGGAAGTTGTTGATGGTATTATGTAATAGTTCTTAGTTGTGTAGGAGGTAAAATGGGTCGTTGTTTGTGTTGTTTGTAGTTTTTAGTGTTTACTCCCTCGGTCAAAGGTAACTACAATGCTTTGCAATTTTCGGCTGGAACAAAAACTTTCTTTCCATTATTCTTTAACTTTTGACTGCACGGTTGGTGCGGTGGCTGGGCAACCGGCTGCGGTGCAACGTTTCGTGGGTTCGATTCCCGCACGGAACAACACTTCGTGTGATCCATAAATTGTTGTTTCGGGTCTGGGTGTCATGTGTAGGTGAACTTGTATGTTTGTAAACGCACCCACGACACAGGAGAAAATCCTAGTGTGGGGCAACGTGTATAAAAAAAAACACAGTAGCATGCATAGTGAAAAATTTGCGTTACATTTAGTACTGCGCTTATCTCAACGGTGATTAAAATACAACCATGATAAAGAACAAAACAGAAAAAGACGAAATGGTATCATTCTTTGTATCTAACGTCCAATTAAAAATTAAAACAAAAGAAAACAAAACGCAGAATAAACAAGCAATTGAATAAAATTAAACAGGCACCAATTAATAACTCTCAAAATCTCCCCACGGTCAATTTATAAGGATGATCGCACATCCACATGAATTGCTAACGAGGGCTTGATAAACAAATTCACGGATCGCCCCCTTTGAAACCCTAAACGTGGTACGGTGTGCAATCTCAGTAAATAATTGCACTTCCCTACCATAAAGTCAGTGAGGGTAAGTTCGTTTCCGTAAAATGATACAGCAACGTCTTAACTAGCGGTAAAGTACGCAGAAAATGGATCCTTAGAGACTACCCTATTTTGTAGACACGGGGGCCTGATAAGTTTATTCAGTTTTTTTGTTGAAGTGTGGACAATTAGAAGGCTAATAATCTATAGAATAAAATAAGAGTACTGTTATATCGGAATTACACATTATACAATAATAATGATGATAACACCATCCTTCGGAGAACCTAACGGGTTACCGAGCCGGAGCTCGAAGTGCAGGAGTAGGAACGGGGTGGTTTTTAGTCAGTAAGAGTTTGACACTCCCTCCCGCTTCACCCAGGCGGGAGAAGTAATTCCATGATTTTCCCCCCTTAAAAAAATCTTTAATAACGTACGTCTGAGTTAGCATTCTTACAATGTGGTTTTTTCCTATGGAATAATTTGCAATCAATGTTTTCAACGTCAATCTATTTTGTAATTTGAACAATAAATCTGTTTTAAGTGAATGAATTAAATTTCTTTTAAATACTCTAAACTACTCCGTAACAGTACACTTTTTTTATAAGCGGGGAAAATCATCGATTGTCTGCTCCCGCCCGGGTGAGGCGGGAGGGAGTGTCAGACTCTTACTGACTAAAAACCACCGCGTTCTTTCTCCTGCACGTCGAGCCGAAGCCCGGTTACCCGTTAGATTCTCCGCGACTTCGAACCGGCATCGGTCCTGTTGGGCCCCATCTGTGGTGGTATGATGGCTCTTTGAGGCGCGCGCGGAACGCGACACGCCGTCCGCTCGGGTGTAACAGTACCCTATATTGACTAATTCATACGACGAGATTAATAAAACAAAGACAAGTGAAAGAATGGTATGCAAGTATGATGAATTGGCGGTCAATTGTCTCTAATCGATACTTCATAATAAGAGGACGGACTTTTTATTTTTTTAGTTTTTTAAAAACGTTGCTCCACACTTGGATTTTCTCCTGTGTCGTGGGTGCATTTTACAAACATACAAGTTCATATACACGTAACAAAAATCTGTGAATTACACAAAGAGTTATTCCGTGCGAGAGTCGAACCCGAGACACGTTGTGCGGCAGTCAGTTGCTTGGCCACACCGCCAACCGTGTAGTTTTGTTTGTAATAAACCGTTACAATACAGCACATCGGTAACTGAGAGGACATATTTTTAGTTATCATTATAAATAGGTAAAATGGGTTGTTGTTTGTGTTGGTTTATAGTTTTAAGTGTTTACTGCCTCCTCGGTCAAGCGTAACTACAATGCTTTGCAATGGTGACAATCATTATAGTGCTATAAAAACCTTCTCACTTTTATATTTAATTAAATAAATAGGAAGGACAATTTAAACTAATAATGCAGGAAACATACAGTTTACAGTAATTAATATGCTATTATTAGCTCATGTTATTATGTATGAAAGAAAACATATGTTTTTTAATAGAATGAAGAATAAATTTAAATATATTTCATTTCTTTTCTCTTTTAAGTCTATTATTAATGTTTTCTTTTTATATAGGTATCAGTATTTTTATTTCTATTTTTAACAATCTTTGTTTACGTGTGCCAATGGCCAAATAAATGCTTTTTCTTTCTTTCTTTCTTATATAGGTGTAATAGGTCTGAAATTGTGTATAATCTATTATTTTAATTGAAATATTAATTTCTATAGAACAAATTGTTAAACTTGGTGACTGAAACGATTTGTGACGCGTAAAGGAGTATTTATATAAAAAGGATAGTATTTCTTAAAAACATTGTCAGTATAGCTCAGTAGCTTGGTAGCGTAACAAAATGAAGACTAGTTATTTAACTCTTATTACGATAGTAGTATCGGTGAGTAGCTTAAAAGGAATTTATTATAATTTTTTTTTCTTTTTCATAGGATAAGCTGGGAAACGAGCAGACCGATCCACTGATGGTAAGCAATCGGCGCCAGTCATGGACACCCGAAATACCAGAGTCTTTATAAATACCTTGCCGGCCTTTCAATGGTTGGGAAATTTGCGGAATACTCTGCTTTTTTACTAAAAATCTATCCAAACTTTGACATTTATTTTATTTATTTTAAGGTCTAGATTTGGTTGTATCTATTTGAAATCGACAAAGTTGATATTATTTCAAAGCTAAAATCCTTTTTAAACTTTACTCTGATTCTAAACATTTTTTTTAATTTACTAGTCATTTTCATAACCCGACGCCAAAGACGATTTTCGACATAAAGTTGCCATAGTTTTACCGATATAGAATTCCTCCTCAATACGCAAGTCAAATCTCTGGTTAATTGGTAAATACCAATTTTTTATCAAGAATCAACAAAATCTATGTATAATCGTATAGGCACATTCCATCTCTTTATTTATCAAAAACATTATTATTTTTCAGATATGTTACGTTACACAGGCTGCTCCAAATTTCATCCTAAGTAAGTATCAGTCGTTTAATCAGTTATATTAAAAACTGGTATTGTATTAATAAGAGGATACTTCATAATTTGTTAATATATTTGTTTAGGCTTTAAAACAACAACAACGGGTTCCTGTGGAGGAATGACAACAACAACAACACCTGTTCCGACTACAACATCATCTTGTGGAGGGATGACATCAACTACTACACTACCGCCAACTACCACTACTACCACTTGTCCTTCTCCAATTACCACTACCACTACTACCACTACTAGCCCGCCACCCACTACAACTACAACTACTACAACCACTACTTGTCCTCCTCCAACCACTACTACGACTACGACCACTACTTGCCCTCCAACTACTACTTCAACCACCACCACAACTATTTGTCCGCCAGATACTACAACTACAACTACAACCACTGCAGCTCCAAAGACTACCACCACCACTACTTGTCCACCAGATACTACGACTACAACTACTACCACTACTGCACCCGACACAACGACAACCACTGCAGCTCCAAAGACTACGACCACCACTACTTGTCCACCAGAAACTACCACTACAACTACAACTACTGCAGCTCCAACGACTACCACCACCACTACTTGTCCACCAGATACTACGACTACTACTACAACTACTGCAGCTCCAAAGACTACCACCACCACTACTTGTCCACCAGATACTACGACTACAACTACAACTACTGCAGCTCCAAAGACTACCACCACCACTACTTGTCCACCAGATACTACGACTACTACTACAACCACCACTACTGCGCCCGACACAACAACAACCACTGCAGCTCCGAAGACTACTACTACAACTACTTGTCCACCAGATACTACATCTACAACTACAACTACTGCAGCTCCAAAGACTACCACCACCACTACTTGTCCACCAGATACTACGACTACATCCACCACTACTGCACCCGACACAACGACAACTACTGCAGCTCCAAAGACTACTACCACCACTACTTGTCCACCAGAAACTACGTCTACAACTACAACCACCACTACTGCACCCGACACAACGACAACCACCACTACTGCGCCCGACACAACGACAACCACTGCAGCTCCAAAGACTACTACCACCACTACTTGTCCACCAGAAACTACATCTACAACTACAACTACTGCAGCTCCAAAGACTACTACCACAACTACTTGTCCACCAGAAACTACGACTACAACTACAACCACCACTACTGCACCCGACACAACGACAACAACAACAAGTACACCTAAGCCAACGACTACTACCACATGTCCACCACCCACAACGACTACTAGTACACCTAAACCAACAACAACCACTACATGTCCACCACCTACAACGACTACTAGTACACCTAAACCAACAACTACTACCACATGTCCACCAACTACAACGACTACTAGTACACCTAAACCAACAACTACTACCACATGTCCACCAACTACAACGACTACTAGTACACCTAAACCAACAACTACTACCACATGTCCACCAACTACAACGACTACTAGTACACCTAAACCAACAACTACTACCACATGTCCACCAACTACAACGACTACTAGTACACCTAAACCAACAACAACTACCACATGTCCACCACCCACAACGACTACTAGTACACCTAAACCAACAACAACCACCACATGTCCACCAACTATGACTACCACCACTTGTCCACCACCAACAACCACGTCAACAACAACGACTACTACCACACCTTGTCCACCAACCACAACCACTACGACAACTACTGCCAAACCGACAACGACTACTTATTGTAGCTCTATGACAACTACAACGACTACATGTGCACCATATACGACTACTACTAAATCTTGCCTTTTAGGAATACTCAGTCTTAATGTGTAATTTTACATCTAGTCTATATAAATAGTATCAAGGGCGAGATGCAATAAAGTTAATCTTTACATTAATAGTTTCTTGAGTTTATGTTTTTGTGATTCATTGTTAGCTTTATTGTGTACTAGTTCAATAATGATTTAAATATAGGATAGTATGTTAAATATTAAACATAATATTTCAATACTGTCTCTTCATCGTTTTATATACTGAACTTAGACAACAAGTTAGCAATAATTTGTTGGAGTGTCAATGTACATAGTGTGTTAGACAAATGTAATATTTGCTTTTGTACAATTATATAAATGTTGCCATCAATTTTAAAATTTAAGGGCTGATGAATAAAAGTTGGTCTAAATATGCAGTGTTTCTTTATACATCAAGATTTTTTTTTATTTTTAGCATTGCCTGTTATAAGTTTGAAATCGCCAACCCGCATTGAGCAAGCGTGGTGATTATTGCTCTAACCTTCTCCATGTGAGAAGAGGCTTAGCTCAACAGTGGGCATTTATAGGCTGTTGATGATGATGATGCATCCGAGAAATAAGCCTTTTTATCAAATGGAAAAGGTGTTACATATAATATTATGAACAATACTGTATAAACATACGATATGGCAGGTATGTTGAACTGTCATAAAGTAATATTACATAGAAAATGCGTAACAAAAATCAATTGTTTGACTCATTATTTCTATAGTACATTGCCTTAGACATAATAATACACTAAATAGTTCACATTAAATACTTTTTATTGTTTGTAGTACATTCACAGGGCCAATGTGTTTTTTTATATTGTGTATTGTTTTGTTGTAGGTGCATATTACTTATTTATACATGTAATAAAATTGCGGGATAATGAAAACTGTACATTGAATATTTGAAGAGAATGCTTAGGGCATGATCTACACTCGACACCGAAGCCAAAAATATTGTTTTTAGAATTTTTGTCTGTTTGTCTATATGTACATACGTCCGGGATGAACTCAAAAACTATTGCATGGATTTATTTAAAATTTTGTATGAATGGTCGGGTCAAAATATAGAGTACATATTATCATGCTACGGGGGAGGAGCTGTGGAGCTGCCGCGGGACTGAAACGACGGACGAAATAGACAACTTATACATTTTTTTTATTAAATTTTTGCATAAATAGCTCTCTACTACTATTACCTATGCTTAATATATACATACTCCCAGATTCAATAAAAAAAATCTATCTAAAGGTTGTCTGGAAGAAATCGCCGTGTGTGATAAGCCCACCCATTGTACTCTAATTACTAGTATATTGTAAACTATTGTTTTACATATGTGTGCAATAAAGCATAAAAAATAATGGATTTATAATTGGAACCATGTTGTATTTACCTATATACATCATCGCATCATCGCTTATCACCAGGTGAGACGGTGGCCAAGCATCGGGCCATCAAACATAAAAATAAAGAAAACGTGTTTTTTCATACTTGTGTTGTGAACGGTATATGTATATTATTTAATTTACTTTAAAATAATGTAAAAAATAATAAATAACAATAAAAAATAAAAAAATAAAATAAAAATCAGCCCCCAACTTTGAATATTTTAATTGAATTTGAAGTAATTATGGTTACTTCAGAAGCAGACTTTCATTTTGTAACCCATCATTTGTCGATACAAATACCTAATTGGGTTTCAATGTATTTTCTGGTGTGTCTCCTATGATAAAAATTACGAGGTTATTTTAATATAAATCTTCAAAACAGGCATGAAAGTTGGTTAGGTTTACAATTATATATATAGTTGAATTAAACAATAAATTTAATTATAATAATTATTATAAGTGTTGAAGTGGTGGATGTGGTTGAATAATAGATAATGCTTGTTATATTTCGTAGTTTTATTAAAAATCACACAGAAAGCACATGATGGGCGCCATGCAGACGACAAAAGGGAAGAATACAGATAATATATCGACGTCTATGAGAAACTTGCCAACTTAACACTAGATGGCGCTACTTATATTATTTAACTTAAGATTATAATATTTACCTTATTACAACACACCTCCTTAAATTTATAATCTTAACATTTTATCTTACATGAACAGTATTTTAAAGTTATTACAGTTTTAATATTTTACTTAAACAGTACTTTAAAGTAATAATCTGAACTCTTAACTAAATTAATCTTAATTCAAACCTGTTTTTCAAAAATTTTGATTTATCTAGACTCTTAGTCAACATATCTGCTAAGTTACATTTTGTATCAATTATAATTATATCAATAAGTTTGTTTTCATAATTCTCGTTTATATAATGATATTGCACTTCAATGTGCTTTGAATTTTTAGTAAAGTTACCATACTTAGCTATTGCAATTGCACCTGAGTTATCTTCATACAATTTTATTGGATAACAAAAGTTTATATCAAATGACTCACTTAACAAATTTCTTATAAAAAGTACTTCAGTTACTGCCTCTGACAATGCAATATACTCTGCAAAAGTTGAACATTTAGTTACTGTATTTTGTTTACGTGTTTTCCAAAATATTAAATTTCCAAAAAATCTTATAATAAAACCTGTTGTAGACTTCCTATCCACATTATCCCCTGCATAGTCTGAATCAACCATACAGTCTAAAATATCAGCATCTGCATTATCATAATATGTTAACTTTAGATTCTTAGTTTTATACAAATATTTTAACACCCTCATTGCATATTTGTAATGTGTTCGGTTATAACAACTTTGATATCTACTCAAATAATTAACGCTGTACGCTACATCTGGTCTTGTGCCTGTACTAATATACAATAATTCACCTATTATATTTCTGTACTTAATACTTTCATCGACCTCACTAGCTTGCTCTAATTTTAAATTTGTTTCCATAGGAGTATCATATAACTTAGTATTTACCAAATTATACTTTGCAGCCAAAGATTCAATATACTTTGTTTGACTTAATGTCATCACATTTTTATCATCATTATACTCAATATCTATGCCAATATAGCTTTTAATTTTCCCCAAGTCTTTCATTGCAAATCGTTTCATTAAACTTGTTTTCACCTCTTTTATTTTATTTTTATCTTTACAACATATTAAAAGATCATCAACAAATATTAATATGTATATTGGATCTTTGCTTGCTTTTTTAACATACAAACAGTAATCATAACTACTTCTAACAAAATTCAAAGTTTTTATAAATATATCAAAACAATCATACCACACTCTAGGACTTTCTTTGAGACCATAGAGAGCTTTTTGCAATTTGTAAACTTTATTATCTCCTGTTTTATAACCTTCTGGTTGATTTACATAAACTTCTGACTTTACATAACCATTTAAAAAGGCTGTTTCAACATCCATTTGCTCTACAAATAATTTATTTTTACAACTGTATGACAATAAAATTTTCAAAGTTTGCATTTTTCCAACAGGTGAGTAAGCATTTTCATTAAAATCTTTTTGCTGAAACCCTCTCACAACCAATCTAGCTTTATATTCATTATTACTTTTCTTTTTAAAAACCCATTTAACATCAATTACCTTTTTATCTTTTGGTTTTTCTACAATTTGCCAAGTATTATTTTTATTTAAACTATTTATTTCAGAATCCATGGCTATTTGCCATTGCTTACTATCATTGGAGTTCATCGCCTCCTCGAATGAATTTGGTACATTTGCATCAATATGGTTAACATAAATAAAGTGTGTAACTGGATTACCATATCTAGAAACTGGGATTCTCTTTCTTTTCTGTGATTCTACTAAAACGTCATTTTCTCTATTATTATTTACGTTACTACTAGAATAAGTCTCATCTGCATCTACAAAGTTTTCATCGGTTTCATATTCATTTTTAACCTCTTCATTTGAAACATCTAAAGTATTATCACTTTCCAAATCTTTATTATTTTGATTGTCTACTTTTTCCAAACAAATTAACTGAGTATTTTCTTCAATTACCTGTACATGCCTTGCATTAATTATTCTGTTATTTAACAAAACTCTGTAACTATTTTCATTATAACCCACTAAAATTCCTAGTTGAGCTTTATCATCCCATTTACTTTTTCTTAACACTTCAGGAACTCTAACATAGACTCTACTTCCATAAATTTTTAAATGCTCTACATTTGGTTTGACCCCAAAAAATATCTCATAAGGAGTTTTATTTTCAACTGTATTTGCAATAGTACGATTCTTTAAATAAGCTGCTGTTTTTATTACTTCAGGCCAGTACCTCCTATGTATTTTAGCTTCTCTCATTAAACATCTACCTATATCCATAGCAGACCTATTATACCTCTCCGCTACTCCGTTTAACTCATGAACATAAGGTGGACATGGTAACAACTCTATGCCCTTATACCTTATAAATTATAAATATCCTTATTTAAATACTCTCTACCATTGTCACACTGAATCTTCTTGACTCTTTTATTAAATTTATTTTCTACTAAATTTATAAACTCTATAAAACACTTTGCAGTTTCAGCTTTACTTTTAATACAAAATATCCTGGTACACTTACTATAATCATCAATAAAGGTTAAAAAATATTTTTCTCCACCATAACCAGTTGTGTTATGTGGCCCATTCAAATCAGTATGAATAAGTTCTAAAATCTCAGTAGTTTTTGTTCTATTATTTTCAAAAGGTACATTAGTCATTTTACTCTGAATACAATTTGAACATTTCATTTCTGTGCTTTCAATTTTATCTGGCAAACCATCAACTAATTTATTATCTTATTTAAGTATTGAAAATTCACATGACCAAGTGCCCTATGCCATTTTTCTTTCTGCGTTAACTTTACAGAATTTGTGCATACTTCATTTTTTAAGACATAACCTTTTAAGCAATACAAATTATTAATTTTATCAGCAACAACTATCAACTCTCTAGACTCATTATATATTTTAGCACTTTCATTTTTAGCTACTATTGTACAACTATTAGTTACCTTTGAAAAACTTAATAAATTTTGTTTTATTCCTTCGACATAATAGACAT